TCTCTCTCTCTCTCTCTCTCTCTTTCTCGCTGTTCCTTGCCTCCCATTTTCCCACTTTCTTGCCAATTTTCCGTCCTCCCTCCGGTATTCTTGACTTTTTTTTTCGCTTTCGCTTTCCCTCTTGACTTTCTTACCGCTTGGTGGTGAAACGCGTCGCAGTGGCACGATCGTCATCGACGAAAAAAGAAGAATCTATATACTGTACACCGCGACACACATTCGAGTTCGCGCTCAGTCAATAGCAGCTGCATCCTTTGAAATTTCAAAAGAGTCACAAATACAAAAGCGTCGCACGGCCGTGGGAGACGCATCGCGATCGAATATCAAAATATCGACCGGCGATCAAACTAAACCGGAAGGGAACTGCCTTACAACCGTGATACGATGCTGTTACGAGGATTTTGAAGGAGAAACCTCAAAATCGAGCAAGCAGTATTATTATGAGCGTTACCCGTACCTTTGTTATTTATTGTTATCAACCGAAGAGATTCTCACAGAAGGAACGTGCATGAATCGTCGAGCCTCCCAAGTCGGCGAAGAAAAAAGAGGAGAAAGAAACGGAAACGTGGTACAGCCCTGCGTAGGAAATCGCAACGATGAAACGTACAAATTTCGGTGAGCCGAGGAACCAAAGATTCCAATGATACCTTCGCAAGGTGGCCGTGAGGGATATAAAGGTTCTCCCAACCCTCCGAGCAACGGCTCTGAGGACAATGGCTTCGCTAATCGACCTCGAGTGGCGGGCCTTTACGCGACGAATCTCTTCAGAGAAGAGCTCGTTCGATTCTCGTCAGGAGAGACCACTCGATCTCATGGTCCCACGCGAGATATTCTTGAGAGATCGCCACGAGAGATTGGCAGCCAGAGAAGTTTAAATCTCCCTGCGGGCATTGCCGAGGAATTCGAGCTGTTGGACCGCTCGAGGATCGGGATTTCGAGAACGCCTCAACCGTTGAGAAGAGGCGAGGCCTCGACCGCTGCTCATTACGAGCCTAGATCCAGATTCGACGAGTCCACCGCCAGGCGAAGAGATCATTATGGATCGCCACCTATCGAAAGAATCGGTGGAAGGGGACACGAGCAACAGGATCGCTCCGCGTCCAGCACCATTCGAGGATCCCTGCTCGAGTTTCCGCGGTCCGAACAAACGATATGGATGGAGCCAACTATCGACGATTCTAACATACATGTTTCAACTGGCGATCTTGTTGGCAGGAGAGAGCTGGACGACAGTTCGACGTTTGCTACCACTTCCGCCTCGATACTCATATCGCCAGCGAGTGAGACCAGCGAGTGCGACGCGATCTCACCGCCAGAAGTGGAGAAATCATCACCGCCACCGTATACGGGCCTTAGTCCGCCGGATTACACCGGCCAGGATTACGAGAACAGTGAAACACCGTCGCCGATTTTTCCGAATTATCCATTGACGTCGTACGCGGAGGAAACACGTCACAGGCGTTCGAGATCGTCCGTCTCGAACGGCGAGCTCGAGTTCGCTCTGCGCGGCGAACGTTTGAAGACCGAGGATCGATTCGAGTCGGAGCCGGAGGAAGAGACCGGCAGATCGAGACGAACTACGTCCGAGCATCACGAAACGAATCCGGAGAAAACGGCGAACGATGAGGCCTTAAGATCCGCCAGAGATGTCGCGAGGCTACGACCTCCTTTGACAGCGGTGGCTGGCGCTTCGGCCGATTCGGGGACCGGTGATTCTGGAAGCGCAGAGATTCAAGTCGATCCACTCGGTACTCCCAGAACAACCACCGCCGGTGAAATCTTAAACGGAAGGGACGGCGGTGATAACGGCCAGGCCGCCGGTAAATCGTCGATGAAAACCCCCACGGGGAACAACAAGCAAACGGTGAAACTCTTTACAAAAGAAAGTCTCGACAGGTTGGAAAACAGGACCGTGCAGCTCGTTAGAGATTATGGCTTTCAGCCGAAAAGACGAATGTCTGTCGAGGATGGCGCGGTGCTTCCAAACAAGTACGAACCATTTCCAACCGAACTTTATGGTAGGCCCCTCGAGGAAATCGACAATTTCATTTACGACGAGGTACGCTTTATATAACTTTATATCGTTGATGTTGTCGGTTTCGTGTTGTCATATTGCAACGTTATGTTGTAATGTATTCAAAATTGGACTGGCATTTAACGTACAGAAGAAATAATTGATTAAGAAAAGATTCACACGATACGGATGATTTCAATTTACGATGTAATTGTAGAACGCACAGTGTTCATTTTAAGGAAAACTAAATTTAATTATTTAGAGGAAAAAAGCTAAAAAGAGTATGTTATAAAAAAAGAAATCTATATAATTGTTAGAATTGAGATTATCTTTTATGGAAGGAAAAGAGGAAAGATATCTATACATGTGTAAGCAAAAATTATAAAATTACAATTACGATTCATTGCAACAAAACTTGTGAATAATGTTAGGATTGCTTAAAAATAAGACAAATAAATACCTCGAATACTCTTTTGAATAATTAATCTTTTAATTATTCAAAATCACTAAAAATTTCATTCGATTTCACTGGCTTTAATATTCTTTGGAAATAACTTTCGCAAAATACAGTACACCTCGTTTATCCGGAGGACAAGATTTGCTTGCTCTACTCCTATTTATTTGAATAACGAGAGATAATAAAAATCGATCAACGAATTTTAATAGCTCGTTTGCATAAATAAAAGTACGGATAAACGTGGTTCAACTGTATTGCCCTCGCGTGAATACAAGATTTGATTTCCATGTCATCACTTGTACCGTGTGTTTCAGACGTTTTGCGTAGTGTCGAAAAGATTTCGTAAAAATTACATTCACCGATTCACGGCGACAAACAGTTGGTTCATATTCTCCCCATGGAATCCTATAAGGCGGTACTGTATTTACTTAAGCACGAACCAGTACTTCGATTACATAGTCATGGCTACGATAATATTAAATTGTGCCTTCCTCGCCATGACGGAAACTATCGAGGAAGCCGAGTAAGCATTCTCACGAATCAAACATCTGCAGACGCATGTGTAACACGCGGCCTCTTGCCTTTTGGTTTTTTTTAGATACATATTCCTAGCGATATACACGGCCGAAATGGTGATCAAGTCGATAGCCAAGGGATTTGTGCTCAATAAATACACTTACTTGCGAAATCCATGGAACTGGCTGGATTTCGTGGTGATTACCAGTGGTTATGCGACTATAGGGATGGAAGTAGGAAATTTAGCTGGCTTGAGAACATTCCGAGTGTTGAGAGCTCTCAAAACTGTTTCGATCATGCCTGGTAAAGGATCTAGAATAAAAAAGGACTGCTTTTTAAGGCCTGATATTTTTTTTTTCTTCTTTCTTCTTTCTTTCGAGAAATCGGAAGAAAATACATATTTTCATCGGGATTACAATATTTTCTTGGTTGAAATTATTTTTTATGCATGCAGAAAATATTGTTAGTTTTTTAACATTCGTTTGTAAATACTTTATAAAGTGACATTCCGCCACAGAGGTCAGCAACCTTTTCAGTAAAAAAAAAAAAAAAAAGAAAATTAGAATAATTAGTCTGCGAGCAAAAGCACTTAGCTTTAATTTCATTGGAGAGAAAGCCGTAAACTTAAAACGGGTTTAATGCTATTTATTTTAAATGAATTTATTAATACAAAATTCTACTTACAAGCGAATTGGAAGTACGTACCAAGAAATTAATTAATACGTGGCACTGCAAATAACAGATGGTATAATCTAGCTGGAGTTTTCAGCGATTATATAAATGAGAATCATTGAGCGGCGATCGATATTTAAAGACACACGTGAATCTCTCTGAAGATCCTCCCGTGTCAAGTACCACATTAATATCTTCTTTTTTCTTTTCTTTTTAAATCCATGTTTAAACCTGTAAGTAGAATTTTGCTGAAATATAACACGAACATATTTTAAAAGCACATTTTCTTAACGAGAAATAACTAGTTTCATCAATACTTTGAATTTATAATTTTTTACTCCAAATTTCTTGCATAATAAGTTTGACGCTTGTAAATATATAGCAAGTATAATGTTACCATTAAGGACCAAGCAACAATTTATCATAATATTATACACAAGTACTTCAATTCCTTTTAAATTTTATCAAATCATGGAGTGATAAAAATATATTGAGCAAATTCTTAAAACTTTCTTTCATAGTTCCAATACTAAGAAACTTGATAATATAAACTGACTGAAACTGAAGGATTGTAATGATGTTGCGTTTTTGAGTTTCATGTTGCTGACTTCTGTTCTTTCTATAATATATAAATGGGAAGTGGTTTTAATGCAAATATAAAAGGGTCGTAGATTATTTGTCTCACAACTCGAAAACGATTAAGAAATACCGATGTAAAACATAAACAGTATTATCATCTTTTTAATTGGTGCACGATAAAATTGATAGAATCTGTAAATTAATAAACGATCGTGAAGTAACTTGAAATTACACGCTTCTATGATACAACAAATTTGTATTAGAAAAATTATATTAAATATGTTATATCATGTTATTAATTATATTAGTATTAAATAATAAAAATTAGAAAACATATTCTACTGTTTTTATGAGAATGTAAAGGGGTGAAACCTTGAGGGGAGAATTAATCGTTCATCCGATATTCTTGCAGGCTTAAAGACCATCATCAACGCATTATTACATAGTTTTAAGCAACTTGCCGAAGTAATGACGCTCACGATCTTTTGCCTGATGGTTTTTGCACTTTTTGCTCTACAAGTCTACATGGGTGAACTGCGGAATAAATGTGTAAAGAAGAATTTGGAATTCAACAACACGCAGGTCGATTGGAAAGAGTACGTATTGTACCTGGTATATAATATGCTCCGTCTAGATGTATGCATGTGTGCTTGCACAAGTATGTATGCATATATGTATCAGCTTGAGAGACAATGGCTCGTTGACTTTCAAGAGGCATTAACCGATATCTTGTATCGTCCACAGGTGGACTTGGAACTCGTCCAACTGGGCATTCGACGAAGATGAAGAACCAATAATTTGCGGTAACGCAACTGGCGCCAGGTTAGCTAAACTTGGTTCGTTATTGCGCGCGACTGCCTCAACTGACAGCTTGATTTTAACTGTGAGGAATCCCTGTGTGTTTCAGACATTGCAACGAAAGTTACATCTGCCTTTGCGTTGGCCCGAATCCAAACCACGGGTATACAAATTTCGACAATTTTCTGTGGTCGATGCTCACCACGTTTCAGCTGATTACTTTGGATTATTGGGAAGACGTCTACAATAAGGTAGTAGTTTGCCAATTTTCCTTCTTCCCGCACGAGTAAACTGCTTTGCCAACAAATGGCCGCCATCTTCGCGACAACAAGTGTCCGAGATCCTGCGAGGTGTAAAGGTAATAATGGTTGGTTCTTAGGTATTGTCGGCGTGCGGACCTATCAGCGTCTCGTTCTTCACGGTGGTCGTGTTTTTCGGCTCGTTTTACCTGATCAATTTGATGCTCGCCGTTGTTGCGCTGAGCTACGAAGAGGAAGCCGAGATTACAAACGAGGTTGTACTTTTAGTTACGTACTTTTCACTTTCGTGCTTCTTACGACGTTCTCACTGCCTTTTGCATGCCTCAGGAACGAAGGAAAGACTTAACCGACCATCGCGAGGACTCGACGTTTAGTTTCGACCCGACAAAGATCAATGTGAAGACGCTTGCCAAAGAGAAGCAGAAGAAATTAGACGCGAGGAAAGGAGTTCTTCTAAGTAGTTACACGCGCAAGAAAACACGAAGGCGAAGACGTGGGAGAAGCACTGCCGGTTCTGGTTCGTCTGGTCAGGATAAAAGTGGCTCTGTGCCAAGCAGGTACACCTTTTGTCACCAAAACATCGAAAATCTGACAAGAAAAGGAAAACAATTATTTTTCTCGTGGCATCAACAATTTAATTATACATATATTGTTAAACGTAATAATTTCCTCGACAATTAGGTCGGTAACACCAAGCCCGAACCCAAGTCCAAGACATTCGACCGTTCGACCGTCTCATTTACTTCTGCAAAATGTCAGTCCACGAACCACGGAGAACAACGGGGTTCACAGATTGGCGCCGAATCGCGGAATGCTTCATTCGCGACAGGCGAGTAACAACAGCAATCAACAATCGTCCTTAGACGACTCGGGAGTTGTCGACGATCACGACGGCGACGACGTCACGTCCGTGGAGGAACACGATAGGCGCGACAACAAAGAGTCTAGAGCCAATTGGCAAGAGAGGGCGCCTGCCAACAATAACGCCGATAACGCCAGTGTTGAAACGAACGCGGGTGGAACGAAAAACGAAGTGAACAATGAGACAGAAGCCGACAACGAACGAGAAAAGTCGCAGGCAACGCATTCCAGCGGATATCTTCGTGCGCCTACGAACGTTCCTGTTTCCCTTGCTGGTGGAACTGCTAGAGAGATTCGAGTGTTCAAATGCAATGGCGTAAAAACAAAGAAACAAATGTACACCTTGCCGCCAGAGTATTTATCGCACATTGTTATTTTAGGTAGAGCAACGAATTTTATTCATTTATGCAGGGTGAGTCTTGTAACACGACGCTTGAAGTAACTTGTAAGAAAATGTGTTTTAAAGAAAAGTTACAGGCGACATGTAATATTGTTTTTTTTTTCATCGAGATACGGTCATCTTCAGTTTCTTAAATGGAATGGAATATATTTTTTAATTCATTAATCGATGCAGCTCGTCATCCTCCGTGAAAAAGTATCGATCTATGTATGTCGAAAAATTATTAGTTCAAGAGAGAGAGATATTTTAACTTCAATTTTATAAAATTTATGCATGAAAGACAATTATTATTATTAAGTATCGTATGAGTATTCCTTACACTGATAGGTTTTTGAAATATGCATAAGTTAATACTTCTTTACAAAGAATATTGATTAATGGATCAAAAAATATATCGTTCCGTTAAAAAAAGTGAAGATGATCTTCGTATCTATAGTCGGTAAAAAAGCAAACAACAACAAAACGGTTGCACGTGTTTCCCTGAATATTGCGCAAATTTTGTTTGAAATATCTTTTCTTATGATATTTCAAATCGTCGTATTACAAGACTTATTCTGTATATATACACTACCGTGCATAAGTATTTGAACACTTCTAAATTATTGCAATGTAAAATACAATTCAAATAAATCTCTTTAATTTAATCTTTAATATATACAATTAATTAATTAATAAATATTGATAGAAAGAGTAATATCATAATAATTGGATGGCCTGCATTGTTGAAATTTTAAAATGATTGATATATGTGTTTCTAACCTAAGTGTCAGCCCTTCGTTAAAAATGAATAAAAATTTGAAAATGCAGAAGATCGATAGTAGAAAATCGTAATTGTTCAGACGTAATGAAAATATCAAGATTTTGATTATTGGAATTGCGAATTATTATTTATGCACGGTGGTGTACGCATTCGACATGTGCGAGATAGAATTACAATGCTTCGTTACTGTGAATTCCAGATGGTCTTCCGGATAGAAACTGTGAAAAATGCATCCAATGCTGTATAGATTACGAGGGTTGGCTACGATTTCAGAATTGTTTGTATAAGGTAAGTATGCCAGAAGGTAAAAAGTAGCGTCTTCGGAAATGAACGCAAGTATCTCTAAAAAATATATAACGAGTTCGGTATTCGTTGCGGATACGAGTAGCGAACCGATTATTAATAAAACACAATGTGAATGAAGTTAAATATAGCAAAAGAGAAAACAAAAAAAAAAAAGAAAAAGAAAGAAAGAAAACGCTCGACTCTCGTCGATTAACCAGTGGCTCGTATCTAGGTAGTGAGAGATCCACTATTCGAGTTGACGATCACACTGTGCATCGTCCTGAATACCGGCTTTCTGGCGATGGAGCATCACGGGATGAGCGAGTCGATACGGCAGGCGCTCAACATCGGTAATAAAGTGTTTACCAGTATCTTCACCTTCGAATGCTTGCTGAAGCTGTTGGCGCTGAGCAAAGATTTCTTCGCCAATGGATGGAACAATTTCGATTTGATAATAGTGTCAGCGTCTCTGATAGATCTTACCTTCGAGCTGGTAGACGGCCTGTCCGTGATACGCGGACTGAGGCTTCTACGTGTGTTAAAACTGGCACAATCTTGGACGACCATGAAGGTTCTTCTGAGTATTATTATATCGACAATCGGCGCCCTTGGGAATCTCACCTTAGTTCTGGTGATTGTGATCTATATATTCGCCGTGATCGGCATGCAGTTGTTCAGTAAGGACTACACTTTGGACAAGTTTTACCCGGACCCGGTTCCACGGTGGAACTTCAACGATTTCTTTCACTCGTTCATGATGATATTTCGTATACTTTGCGGTGAATGGATCGAGCCGCTGTGGGACTGCATGCGGGCCGAGCAAGAGGACGGGCCCGAGGCTTGCTTCGCCATATTTTTACCGGCTCTCGTAATGGGTAACTTCATGGTGTTGAATCTTTTTCTTGCCTTGCTGCTCAACAGCTTCAATTCGGAGGAGTTGAAGCAGAAGAAGGAGGAGGTCGGCGAGGAGTCGAAGCTCGCTAGGTCGTTCGATCGTATCCGTTCGATCATACGGAAGAACAAATGCTCACGGCTGACGCAGGCCGCCGCCAGAGGCAAAGGCAGAGGAGATCCCCGTTTCGAGAAGATCGTGCGGCGTGTAATAGACCGATCTGACAACGAGACTAAATACGCCATTCAAGAGACTGTACTCAGCCTTCCAACAGACAACGTTTACAATAGATCTTACCAAGAAAGTTTAAATCAGCCCGTTTTTACTTACGATCCGGTATACTCTCAATCTCAGACGGAAGAACAGAAGTACGAGCAATGGGAGAAGGACGGTGAAGAGAAAGACGGTGACTCGCCCTGCGACGAGAACAATTATTCCACCGAGGCGAAGGAGATCGAAACGAACGGAAGCAAGGAGGAGGATTGTCCAGGAGAACCACCGGAGCTGGTAAAAGGCTCGTCCTCGGACAAAGCACCCGCGGAGGAAAGTGTCGCGATGCTACCTCAGAGGGATCCGTTTCCTGCCCGGCATGAGGATCGGGTGCCAAAACGACCATGGCATGCGCTCGTCAGCTACGTGGACGAGCTGACAGTCGGTGGTAGAAGGGACAGCAAAGGGAAATACATCGACGGCATGGGTTCTTTCCCAGGTTTTGGAAGGAGTAATCGCCGCAAAGAACCGCAAGACTGCTTCCCCCGGCAGTGTTACCAGAAGTAAGAGTCTGCTTCTCTTAAATAATTCATTTCCGCATCTTGAGATAGATCACGAGCATGTCAGCAACACGACGTTGTATATATGTACACAGGTGTACCTGTATCGATCGGTGTATCGCGACGGCTATCGGGAAAAAGTGGATTAAAATGCGAACGATGATACTGTCAGTCGTCGATACGCCCGGCTTCGAATGGATGATCCTAGTTTTAATTTTCGCATCTTCCATAACGCTTTGTTTCGAGGATATTTATCTAGACGATAATCCATTTTTGAAGAAAATCCTCTATTGGACCAATCTTGGCTTCTGTGCGCTTTTCAGCATCGAGATGCTGCTCAAGTGGTTAGCTCTGGGTTTCTGCAAATATTTCACCAGTTTTTGGACAATCTTGGATTTTATAATTGTCTTTGTAAGTAGAGCTATTAATCGATGCAAGCAGCATCGGTTTCAATCGTATATGTGTTTGTGCGTGTATGTGCAAGCAGAGGCGGTACATACGTGCGCGCGGACGCATGTAGTATAAAATCTTGACGTCCATCGTTGGCTGCATGGATTTTTCATTTCCGCCGATCGTGACTTACTTG